TCCTTGCCTCTCAAGATCACTTCCTCTTCAATGACCAGTTTCCATAGAAAGGAGTTAGTTTATGATTCATCTACACTGGATTCAAGTGAGGTTTGCTTTTGTTCCTATTTTGTTCTGGTTTCATTTTGAGTATCGCTGTGAGCTTACTGACTTTTATGTATTTGCTACATTTCCGGCAGTTATCATTCCATGAATTTTTTTTTAAAAGATTTATTTATACAAGAACCGGGGTATAGGCCAGATGTGCGGGAGGGTGAGATGTGCGGGAGGGTGAGAGGCCTCCAGAGCCAGAGCAGGGAATAGAACAGGCAGAGTGTCTGAAACACACTACTGAGGGGAGCAGCGGGCAAGACAGGAGAGGTCTGCCGCACCATGTGGGTTGCTCCATGGCTGGTGGGGATCGAACTGGCACTACAGAGGCTGCGGACAGCTTCAAAGTGCTGTGCTCAACCACCTGGGCCACCAGGGAGGCCCCTCATTCCATGAATTTTTGATGTTCACATTGTCCTACTTTTAATCAATGGCAACTACTTTGAGCTGACTCCTTTATTCTTCATAGTGCTCTTCATCCTTGTCTTGGACAAAGCTGATGCAAGATGTTCTGGCTCTCACTGTCAATTCCCTGCCTCTGAACTCTCCTCTGCCAAGTCTCCAGGCACCCCTGGTTCTCTTAGTGGGAGATAATATTAAGACACTAAATTCCTTACTCTGAAAATTGGTAAGTAAAGGGAACAAAATGTTACTTTTGTTCATCTTTTCCGGTACAAATTGTATTTTAGGGCAACCAAGTAGTCCCAGAAGATAAAGAGAAGCTGCTCCTTACCAAAGAATTCCAGGTAATATTTGTAGCCAGATAGGGTGTTAGAACTAGAAAATTAACATTTTTGCAAAAAGCAGAAAGTATCATAAAGGAGAAATTACTACCTTAAACCAGAGCTCCATCTCAATACCATCACATGACAGCCCACCATGTTAATATATTAGATATGATCATGGTATTAAAGCCATGTAGAAAAATGCCCTTATCTCTTTTTTTAAACAGTTCTTGTTCAGACATAATTCACATACCATTCCATTCACCTATTTAAAGTATAAAATTCAGGGCCTCCCCTGGTGGCGCAGCGGTTGAGCGCTGGGCTGTGAGGCTGCCCGCAGCCTCTGCAGCGCCGGTTCGTTCCCCGGCCGCCGGCGAGGGTCCCACAAAAAAAAATAAATAAAAATAAAAATAAAATAAAGTATAAAATTCAGTGGCTTTTAGTGTCTTCACTGAGCTGTGCATCCATCTCCACCTTTAGTTTTAGAGCACTTTCATTACCCCCCAAAAGAAACCCCATTCCCTTTAGCTGTCACCCGTAGGCAACCCCTAAGAGACGTGCCTGTTCTAAACATGGAATCCTGAATATGTGCTCCTTTGTGTCTGACTCTTTCCCTTAGCACACTGTTTTCAAGTTTCATTCATGTCATAACTTCATTCTTTTATATGACTGAATAATATTCCATTGTAGGATTAGAGGCAATGGTTTTTCTCCACTCATCAGCGGATGGGCATCTGGGCGGTTTTATTTTTTGGCTACCATGAATAGTGTTGGTATGACTGTTTCTGTAAACTCATCGAGTACCTGTTTTCAATTCTTTTGACTCTCTACCGAGGAATAGAATTGTTGGGTCATACGGTAACTATGTTTAACTATTTGAGAAACTGCCAGACTATGTTCCAAGGTAACTGCACCATTTACATTTCCACCAACAATGTCTGAGGGTTCCAGTTTCTCCACATTCTCGTGAACATTTGTTGTTATCTGCCTTTTGATTAAAGCCGTCCTAGTGGGCACAAAGTGCTATCTCAGTGGGTTTTGATGTACATTTGCTGAACATCTTTTTCATCTGTTTATTCGCTGTCTGTCTACTTTGCAGGGTTCTTCAGCTCTTTGGTCTATTTTTTTCCCACAGATTTTTATTTTTTTAAGGGCAGCTTTAGGCTCACAAAAAATCAAGTGGAAAGTACAGAGAGTTCCTGTGTAGCCCCTGCCTCCACTCACATACAGACTCCCCCGTCAACACCCTGTACAGAGCCCCACACATCGGCTGCAATTGACAGGCCTCCATTGAGACATCACTATCATCCAAAGTCCGTAGTTTACATCAGGGATCGCTCTTGGTGGTATATATCTTAATGGTTAAAAGAAAGGTATAATGGCATGTGTCTTATTACAGCATCAGACACAGAAGTTTCACTGCACTAAAGATGCTCTGTCTTCTCATCCCTCACCTCTCCCCAGCCCCCACAAACCACTGATCTCTTTGCTGTCTCCAGAGTTTTGCCTTTTCCAGAACATCATATGGTTGGAGCTATACATTATGTAGCCTTTGCAGGTTGCCTTCTCATACTTCATATATGCATTGGAGGTTCCTGTGGGTCTTTTCACAGCTTGCTAACTCATTTCTTTTTAGAGGTGGATAATATATTCCGTACGCTGGAGGTAACACCGTTTATTTCTCCACTCACAAAAAAACATTTCAGTTGCTTCAAAGTTTGGGCAATTATGAATAAAGCTGCTGTAAACATCTAAGGTTTTGCTACAACTGGAATCCTATAGACCCAGGATAAAGGGTCTTGGGAGACAAAGTGTTTGAACTGAAATCAAATCATTTCTAGCTGCTCGTATAAGCCTGGACATTCAGCAGTGACTGCTTTCTGGGCAGTCTGCAACTTGTGATGATTTTCAGTGATCCCCATCAGTTTCAGTGGTACATTCTCCCCTCTACCCGCAGTCTCAGCAACCATTTTGTTGGCTACCGCAACCCAGACACTGCTTCTCCCTGGTACTACCAAAGTCCTGGGCTCTCACAATTCTATTGTAGCTTGCAAATCCTTGATGGTCAGCCAGCTCAGAGTCCAGGGGCTTTCACTGACACTGATAGCGCCCACCAGCTCTGTTAAGAAGGAACCAGGCCCCACAATGCTGACATGAAGCCACGTTCCCTCCGAGAGGAATATGTATATATTTTGTCTAGGAGAGAAGTTTTAAGGACATAAAAATTATGGCAATATTGTTGGTAGTAAATTTTATTAGGAGAATTTAAAATAATTACTTTAGCAGACTCATTCAATTAAAATTTTAGACATATGGTTGAGTATGAGTATAAATCTCATTGCCACATTAATTAACTATAAAATACATAGACAATAAGTCATTGCAAGTAGTTTTTAAAAAATAACAGTGCACATGCCCGTATCTGGGTGGAATGAAAAGGGGGCAGCAATGCTGCCAGAATTGGTGTCTTGGACAACTTTTTGGTAAGCAGGAAGGCAGGAATTTCAAAGAAACACTTGATGTGCTAGGTAGTTTAATTTGCAAAGTACAAAGACCCAGGTGAAAAATCCCAGGGATAGGCATGATTCCCATAATTGCCCAAGCCCCCATAATATGAAGCCAGGCACGAGCAGACTACAGCTCACCTGCAAGTGACCTTCTCTGTCGAAGGAGAGCCGATCTTGGCAATGTTAGGTGAAACCCCAGCCATTTATCAAACCTGTTTAATCTGTTTTCATTGAGGAGCCTTAAAATTATGCTGAGCATCGCCAGCCTACAGGGTCTCCATCCCCACCTTACATCTGGTTGGTGCCAAGGGACTCTGGGACTGCATTTGCTTCCAGAGAAAACTTTTTGCCCTGGACTGCAGAGCAGGGGAAGGCAGCTGACTTCAGGATGTGGAGGGCAGCTCCTGGGGTTCTGTCCAGGACGGTTTGTGTTTCCTGGGTCTGGCCTCTGAGAAAGCAACGGGAAGGAGATTGTAATGCCAGCCTGAGGACCACCACATCGATCTAAACATGAGGACTCCGAGGACCTTAGTTTGATTCAGCTGAGCATGGCGAGAACCTGCACCTTCATTTCGTGGTCAGGGCTCAGGGCTGGCACTGGGGCTTTTTCAAGGACTCAGGGCAATTTTGTAGTCCAAGGATCAACAACTTTTTTTTTTAAAGACTTATTTATGCATACAAGAACTGGGGTATCGGGGAGATACCGGAGACAGAACAGTAATTCAGGCTTTGTGAGGGAAGAGGCAACAAGGGGAGGACATGATGTAGCTAGTTGTATAACAGGAGAGAAAACAAATAGTGATGATTTGTTAATAAAACCCCAAACAGCGTGATGATTGAGCACAACTGTTTGGAGTACATACCTATTTAATAAGGAGAAAGGAATTCTTTAAGGGGGGTAATATTTCCCTTAATTGGGGTTCAAAGGTAGTGTAGCTGTCGGATCGGAAATGCTGTGTGAAAACCATGCTGAGGTCTCTGGTGCAGACACTGGCGGCGCTGAAACTGGCCTGCGGGCCGGTCTGCAGACCGTTGCTGTAGCCGAACCTCAGTCGTCCGCACTGGATTTGGCGTGTTCCGGCTTAGGGGGGGGGTCGCTCCTGGCTGCCAGGTCCCTGCAGCGCCACTTCCCACACTCTCCCTCCGTGCCCAGTTAATATGGCTCATTGGCCCACCCCAGGGAGGCAGTACAGGAAGGTCAAGATTGGGGCCTTGGCCTTGTCCGGGGAAGCAAGGGCACAGCCACGCTTCAGGACCACCCAGGGTCTCGCCGCCAGCGGCGCCCGCGTCGGCCGCCCTCCTAGCATCCCTGCAGCTCTCCCTCCGTTCCGCCTCCGACTCTCTTCCTGCTGCTCCGAGCGGCCCCCGCGCCGTCCTCTGCAGCAGCGCCCGCCTCCGCCTCCCGCTGCACCTCCCAGCCCCCTGCCCCCAGGCCCCAGCTCCTCCTCCGCTGGGCGGCGGGACCTGCCGGCTCCCGCGCCTTCGGCGGCGCGTTCTCACCGTCGGCTCCGCCCGCGCGGCGCTGTCGCCCCACCCCCAGCCCCGACCCCCCCCCATCTCCGCCCCGGCCCCGCCCCCGGCCGCCCCGCCCCCGGCCGCCCCGCCCCGGCCCCGCCCCTCCGGGTGCTCTTCAGGGCTGCGCTCCTCCCCCTGCCCAGCAGCCGCGCTTTCCCGCTCGCGCCGCCGCCGCCGCCTGCCGTGCCCGCCGCGCGCCCCTCGGAGCCCCGCGCCCACCATGCCCAACATCGTGCTCTTCAGCGGCAGCTCGCACCAGGACCTGTCCCAGCGCGTGGCCGACCGGCTGGGCCTGGAGCTGGGCAAGGTGGTCACCAAGAAGTTCAGCAACCAGGAGACCAGGTGCGGGCCGGGTCGGGTCGGGCCGCGCTGCCCGGCGCTCGGGGCGCGCGGCCGCGGGGCCGCGCCGGGACCCGGCCTGCCCGGACCCCCTCCGCGGCCGCCCGCTCCCCCTTCCGGGGCGGGACGGGCACGCCGCGGCCTCCGCGCCACCGCCGCTGCGCGGGGGAGCAGCCAGGAGGGCGGCCCCAGCCGGAAGGGCGAGCGCGGGGCGGCTGCGGCGGCGGCGGGGCGAGGTGGGCGCCGCGGGCGGCATGCGCCGGTGCCGGGCCCCGGGAGGGACGCCCCGGGGTGGGCTCGCCCGGCCTCCCGCGTCCCCGCCGGCCAGAACCCCGTCCTCGAGCGTGTTGGGGAAGGTTCCGCCCACGTCCCCATCCCGGCTGCGCCCTGCATCTACCTGGGACCGTTTCCAGCGCCGCGTGCCCTCCTTGGGGCTCAGCTCCGAGGCCGCGGCCCGCGTTCTCAAAGCTCCCGGGTGCCTGCTGACCGGCCGGGGCGCAGACCTCCGCGCTCGCCAGATGCTGTTTAAAGAGCATGAGAAGTCGGGGCGCACGTGCTGGCTTCTCCTGTGCTTCCTCTAATTGTTCTGCCGCAGAGACGAGGGACTTTCAACTTCGAGGTTCTGGGGCTGCGCCGTGTCCAGCGGCAAAGCGATGGCTCGAGTGTCACTGCGACCCTGTCTCCAGCCCGCGAGAAGCTGTCCCCTCAGCTCAGGGAGCTCAGCCGGGGGCCCTCAGAAGCTCGGCACAGGCTCCTTTTCCACTTGTCTCAGACCACAAAGCTTTTTGGCTAATTTCAAGTTGGTTTCATTCCCTCACCCCCCCCCTTTAAATGTTGAGCGCCCTGTGCGCAGTTACTAATCATTTTTAAACCTTTGGCAAAGATCCCGTTCCACCGTTTTCAACTAGTGCTGCTGGAACAACTGGTGCAAGCTACAAAAACATGAACCTCCCTACATATTCCCCCTCATCTGAAAAAATTACCTGGAAGTGGGTCGTAGACATAAATGTGAAACCCAGCTGAGAACTTCCAGAGGAAAACCTGGGAGATTTGGATGACCTTGGCTTAGGCAAAACTTTCTTAGATACCCGGGAGTTAGATGCACAGGGAAGATGGTGTTTCTTGTCGGATCAGCTTTTTAGGATATATGAACCCTTCATCCAGGTGGGAGATGGCCGTTCACATCAAGCAGGTGCTACAGTAAATCCCAGTGTTTTCACCCAGACAATTCCTCTTTGCAGTAGTTAATACAAAGTCCTGGACGATTGTCAAGGACTGGAGAACAATAAAGTAGCTAGGTTTCATTGTTGCCGTATTTTTGCTAGTCCTCTTCACGTTTCAGTAGCTTTAAGAAGACCAGGAGAATGAAATAATACTTTTCTGTTCAGGAGGAGGTGTCATAGGTGAAGGAGAAATTTCTGGAGGGGATGGATTTTGAAAATAAATGTTGCCCTTCCATGTTAGCTCAGAGCAGCAGGCTCCTGTGCTGCTAAGAGCATAGTAATTAGATTGGAAGTCCATTGAGAAGCCAGTATTGGATTTCTGCTCCAAACTGTATGTGCTACTGGGGGAAACTCAGAAGACTCTGATGGAGGATTGTTTATATGTAAAGAAGTCTCCCTCTTACTTGGGGTTTGAGTCTTTTATAACCACCACTTGGTAATTAGAAATCATGAATTCTCAAAAATCACTCAACATGAAGTCTGTGAATTGCTTAGATGGTTACATTTTACATTTTTCATACCTAGACTATCAAAAGTTAACTTTCCCACTTGTCTCTTTCCCATGAGCTGTCTAGGTCCACAGGTTGATTTTTACCAACAGTCCTCTCTGGACCCAGGTGCTGTGCTAGTGAGCTGCTTTTACAGTGGGTCCTAGACATGAGAAACACGGGCACAAAGAAGACAAAATGATTCAGTTCATGAAAGGTCCTTCCTGACTTCTGCTGAGCCAAGGTCAGAAGTCTGGTTCCCTGTCCCAGGGCATCGCCCATCCCCTCCCCATTCATGAAAATGCTACTTAATGGGACACGGCTTCCTGATTTTACCTTCTCGTCTCTAAATCATTTCAGATATGCAGGGAGATGTCTGTCCCGCTTCACTAGAGACCACTGGATTTCTACCATGACATCTTAGCACAGCACTGATGATGGTGTTTAAAGTCTTGTAAGACTTTCTCCCTGTCAGTTCATCCCCACCAAGTCATTGACTATATTGTGAGACCCAAAGTTCTGGTTGTCTGTTGTTGGGTAACAAATCACCCCAGAACTGAAGAACTTAGCTCCATGTCTGTTTGATTCTCGCACCTGGACATTTGTGCAGGGCTCAGCAAGGCAGGCTTGGTTTTGCCCCATGTGCTGGCATCTGGAAGGGACTGGAAGCTCCACTTCCAACTTGGCACACACATGGCTGGAAGTCAGACTAGCTTTTACCTGAGAGCTCTATGACTAGGCACCTCAGTGCGTTGCCAGGGGCTGTTGTGCTGCCTGATAGCACGGGATGCTGGGTTCCTAGGGCAAGTTTCCAAAAGACGAGATGTAGAAACTGCTGCAGTTTAAAGACCTGGGCCTGGAAGTTGGCACGCCGTTGCTTCTATCACCTGTTGGTAAAGAGATCCAAGGGGAGGGAATGTAGACCCTGCATCTTGGTGGAGAAAATTAAGAGTCGGTGGCCATCTTAATTACTGCACCCATTCATTGAGTCAGAAAAACTCATCAGTCCTCTTATTTGGAGAACAGTAAAGATGCTCTTTCTGAACAGCAACTGGGTGCTGTCTTCTAGCCACAGTTTTCAAGAGGTGCAGAACAAAGGTCAGCTGTGATCATCTTTACTTGGAGTAGTGGGCATAGCTTTGGAAGACAGTCTCCCCAGGGAGGGCATTTTCAGTCCTCCCCTGGACTGCTGGTCCTATGGGGTTGAAGTTCCTGAGAAAAAATAGGCCAGAGGCTGATCTTCTAGGATAGAGTCATCACACCAGGAGTTGGCAGACTTTTTCTGTGAAGGGCCCAGGTGTAAACATTTTAGGTTTTGTAGGTCATGTAATCTCTTGCTGCTGCATCTTAGCAGTTTGTAGGTTAGAAGTCCATCATGGCTCCCTGGTTCCTTTCTGGATTCTCTAGAGGAGAAGTCACTCCATGGCTCACCCAGCTTTTAGAGGCTGCACACATTCTTTGTCTATTGGCCCCTTCTTCCATCATCAAAGTTAGCAACGTAGTAGCTCTCTGATCCTGCTTCCGGACCTCACATTTCTTTCTCTGACCTCTTTTGTCTCTTCCGTTTTTAAGGGCCCTTGCAATTACATTTGCCACTGAAATAATTCTTATTTTGAGATCACCTGACAGTAACCTTAATTCTATCTGCCAGCTTCTTCCCCATTGCTGTGTAAACTAATGTAGTCGAAGATTCTTGGGATTAGAACACAGACATCTTCGGAGGCCGCTGCTGTGCCTGCTACACCATTCTCCCCTTGGTGGCTGTAGATTGTTGACTCCTCTTTAAAACTGTGATATTCAAATTGACTTCACGCCTCAGTTGTAATGTTCACCTTGGGATTACATTTAGCTCCAGAGAACTTGGATGGGAGGGAGTATGTAGCATTCTGTCTGTGCCTTTCTACCTGAGGCTGACTTAGTTTCCGGTTGTAGCAAGAATAAGACGCGCTGTTACCAAAACTCATTTTCCAGTCATATCTATTTGAAAAACTTCATTTTTTGTCTTCTAATTATTCCACTTGAAGCTTCTGTTGATTCAGATAGACTACTATATATATAGTGTCCCAAGTGTAGTCTTGTTTTTAAATTTTCTTTAGAAAAAATTACCTCTTAATGAAGCAGTATTATTGGGTATAATTGGCTTCCGAGAGTGGGAGATGAGATTAGGTTAATTATTTATGTGCTTGTAATTTTAAAATAAGATTCAGTGTACTTCTTTTTTGGGTGAGCCTTTCATTTACAGTCAGTTCTACTACAGTGTGACATAATGTGTTCCTAGAAATCACCGCACCATGCAAAGTCAGCACAGAGCTTATGGTAAAATGGGGTTAGGGGCACAACACTCAGAATTTCCTCAGGGACATATTAAAAGAAGAAAGGAATATAATCCAGATGGTAAAACACCTCTACACATATCACATGTTTAAAAGAGATACAGATGCTACAATAAATATGACACTTTCCATCAAAAAAGGCCTGCAGCTTGCTTGTTAAAGTAGATCTTGGAAGGATTGCAGTGTTTGAGTTCTTAGGATGATGTGAAATTGTGCAGCAAATTGTGGCCCCAGATGTGAATGGCTATGACTATCCTTTTGAGGTGTGTTGTGGGGTGCGTTGTGTGTGTGTGGAGTGAGTGTTTCTAAGTGACTCCGCTCAGCTGACTTCAGTGTGGGCACCCCAGGATGAGAGGTTGTGTGTAAGCCAATGCAGAATTCGTGTTATGCTCAGATCATTCCTAATATCAGTAGCTGCAACAGATTCATCACCTTTGCAAAACAGGTGGAGCAGAGCTGGTAGGCCGGATCTTCGGTGCTGAGCAGTGTCCTGCAAAGGAGCTGCCTGGGCACTGGGCATAAGGCACTGTTTTGCTTCCCTCCCCCCCCCCCCCCCCATGGATGGCACGTACAGCGATGGGCTGCCTCGCTCCCAGAACTTTATACTCAAAAACACAGATTTTTTCAACATGCACTTTTCAAAGATTTTAGCTCCTATTTACTGTTCTCAAGAAGCTACTGAAGGACACCCATCAGCACAACAAAGAAACGCAACAAGAAAGGGGGTACAGAAAGTAGGAAATTGAGTACAGGAGAGGGGTGAAGGGAATCCCCATGGGAGCAGCTGTGCACAGGCTTCTGACATTGTAGGATTTAGATCTGTATTTAATACTTAGGAAAGGCAAGATAATGTCCCCCAGGGAAAATAAGCCCCCCCAAAAAAAAATTGTGGATAAAAGGGAAATACTAAACTTTGATTTAAATTTATGACTCGACTCCGACCATCATCTACATTTAAAATGCAACCCTCAGGTTTGGTGAGAATACTGACCTGCTGGGGTGCTGGGGAAATGAGAAGGCAAGAGTGCAGGCTCCAGGGTGGGGAGGAAGTAGACTTAGCTCCTCATCTGTTACAGTGAGACGTCAGCATACAGTGCTGAAATTAAAAATCAAGATGAAGCAATACACACATTAGCTAGACACTGGAAGTTAAATATCTCCAAACCATATCAGGAGGTGAAATTAGTTGCCTTTGAGCGCTTTGTTATAATGAGCCTATAGAATAATCTTAATTTCTTATACAATGTGTATATATAACTTTTAATAGATAATATAAAATAAAATATTTTGCGGAAAAGAGCTAACATAACAGGCCCAAGACAAATTTCTAAAGAGCATTTGAGAACTCTTTGTATATGAATTAGTCCTGTCTGCAAGGTTGGCCCCAGCTGGCTCTGGGAATTGAGCTTTTGCAAGAGTTTCCCCCACCCCGATAGGATTGGCTCACTGTGCTAAACTGTATAAAGAATGTGGTTAAAACTGAAGCCCTGGGAATCTGAAACTTGGTATGTGCCAGGCAGAGGGTGCCTGTGTGAACTGACCCCCAGGAAAGCCCCGGGCACTGAGTCGCTAGTGAACTTCCTTGGGCAGCATTTCACGTGTCTTGTCACACAGCTCATTGCTGGGGGAAATGAAGCTCGTCCTGTGTGACTCCACTGGGTCGGGGGGGGTGCTCTTGGAAGGCTGTACCTGGTTTCCCCTGGACTTTGCCCGTGTGCCTCTTGCCTTTGCTGTGCATCCTTTTACTGTAATAAATCATGACTGTGAGTCCAGCTGTATGCTGAGTCTTGGCGAATGATCAGGAGGTGGGCTTGGTGCCCCCACGACACAAATATATTTTAATGTTAACGGCAGGCATTTCCCTCTTCTAGCGTGGAGATCGGTGAGAGTGTGCGGGGCGAGGATGTCTACATCATCCAGAGCGGCTGTGGAGAAATCAACGACAACCTGATGGAGCTCCTTATCATGATCAACGCCTGCAAGATTGCTTCATCCTCCAGGGTGACCGCAGTGATCCCGTGTTTTCCATACGCCCGACAAGATAAAAAGGACAAGGTAAGGTGTGTCCTGTTGGGGAAATTTGCTCTGCGATAACAGCTACATTGGTTCCCATCACATGCCGCCTCAGAATGTCTAAACATGTTTGCTGTGTGATGACCAAGTGAATACGCTCTCGCCTTGGCTGTTTCGAAGGCTTGTCTTTGAACCAGTCCTCATGTTAGTGTTTATCGCTATGGTACAGATAAAGCTGGGTTTTGCAGGTATTAAAACACTATGGCATTCCTTATGATGAAATTGTTGTGTGTCTTTGTGGTGGGGGATAGAACAAGATACACCCACACGCAACCCTTTCGGTATGGCTGCAGGCCCTGTGCTGAACATGGCTTACTCAGTTAATTCCTCGCCAAAATTGCCATCTCCAGAACTCCATGCTGCGGATTCTGTGATTTGTGATTAGGGCCTCCTTTTGCTTCTCGTAGATTTTCCCTTTGGCACTTTGCATCTTCTTGAGTCAATTACTCCTCTTACCTTGACACAGTCCTCTTTCCCTTTTCCCACTGTGAAGTGAGTTGCCCTCTCGCTTCCTCTGATGCAAATGTTGAGACACGTTCACCTTTTGTTCCGAGTATCCTGTTTGCAGTTACCTCTGTTCAGAAGATTGTATCTTCAGGCTTTGTCTGATTTTGATTCTTAATGAGGTCTGTTGCGTAGAGAAACTGGCACTGGCTGGCACCTTCCCTTTGCTTGGGCCAGCCTCTGGCCTTGCAGGAGATGGGCTGCCCCCCCCCCACTCCTACCTCCTGCAGTGCCACCTGCCCTGTGCCAATCCTGAGGAGTCCAAACCCCAGGGGGCGTCCCTGTTTGCGGAGCCGTGTCGTCCACCAGCCATTTCTCCCTTTCCCCGCCGTCCGCCATTAGCTGGGCTTTCTCTGCGGGGCCATCTATTTCTTTTGTTCCTTTTACTTTCTCGTAATCACTTGGCTGTGTGTTTCTTGGAAACATCAGAGCCACTTAGAGTTTTTAACCAGATCAGACCATCCCACGACTTTTTGAAGTGACTTGAGCTCAGGGCAAAGCTAAGACCTTCACTGCCAACACCACTGTGGCAAGGCTCTGCATCCACTGAGAGACTGCACAGAGAGCAGCGGGGGGAGTCCTGAGTTTGGAAGCTGGCTTATGGTTAGAGACAAGAGGGCGAAAGGAAGGGCTCATGGGGGGCTGGTTCACTTCGCCCTTGCTCCTGTAATAAATGATGACAAACTGGGTGGCTTGCAACAGCAGTAACATTGCTCACCTCTGGAGGCCAGAGGGGAAAGTCAAGGTGCAGAGCTGTGGTCCCTCCAGAGGCTCCAGGGGAGGGTCCCTCGGGTCCTTGGCTTGAGGCCTCACCCATCCTCCTGCCTTTCCCCATGGCCTTCCCTTTTGTCTCCACAATCCTCTCTGTAAGGGCAAATGTATAGCATTGAAGCCCTCCAGGATAGTCCCCCCAGCCCAGAGCTCTCAATGAAATTACATCGGCAAAGGCTCCCTTTCCAAGTCAGGTAACGTTTAAAGGGTTCGGGGATTAGGAGCTGATATCTGGGGGCCACCCTCTAGCCCACTCCAGTGCACCTAGCAGGACTGATATTAATAAATGAACGTTGCAGAAACAGTTCGTTCAGCTTCAGGATGGTGGTGTTCTGCCATGCATCTTCTAAGCCAGGACACTTGAAGGCTTAAAAGGGGCTCTCGGGATAATTGTGCCAGGAAACAAGTGTCCACCATGACTGTCCTGGGCAACTTTCTATAGGTTTGTAGTCTTGGCACTGACCTTGGAGGTGGCCAGGGCACATGGTTTGCTCTGGCACTATCATTTCTGACACATGTTGGTGTCACTCAGGTCTGGAGAGGAACAGTTTCATTCCTTCACCGAACAGGTAGAAAAGGGGGCTGCACCGTCATTTGAAGGTGGCCTTTGTCTAATTCCTATTGCTGCTGCTGCTGTGTCTAACTGCTCATTGCTTTCCTTAGATCAAGTGGGGTTGGCTTTGTGTCTGGAAGCTGTCGAAGTGAGGGAGACAAGGGACTTAAGCATGTCGGAGCTCAGGTGGTGAGCTGGGTTTGGCCTATGGGCCGCAGTTGGCTGTCCCCTGCTGGGCTGCTGGACACGCAAAGTCTGCTAATTTGCTTTGCTGGCAAAAAGAGCCTGGTGTGGGGAAGCTGGAAAGAATTGCGTCTCAGGTGGCGGGGAGACTCGTAACTTTCTTCAAAATCATTTCCAAAGTTATGTTCTCTTTTCAGCAATAAAATTGACTCTTTATTTAACTAGAAGAGTTGAGGACAGTTGATATCATATAAACTTCTACCATTTTGTAAATATTTAAGTCAGATCTGTACTTCTAGCAGGACAGCAGCCGATGCATTCCGTAAGATCTGGAATCTTTGTCCTGATGGGTAAACTCTTGCTCTCTCTCCACTTTTCACTAGGGGTGTCAGAATTTTCCTTTTTGTCTACTGTACCTTAACTGTAGTGTTGAAAGGCAAGAATAACTTTTCTCCTTCTAAGCTATGAAGTAGTTAATTTGTAAATCATTCTTCCTGTAACATTCAGTTGGGTATTATGGGTATAATCAGCCAAATTATGAAACACAGTACAGAAACCGAATTAGTAAGCAAGGCCTGTAGAAGGAATCAGAAAGTATGAATTTGGAAATTACCTCTGTGGTTTGGATCCCAGAAGGAAGAATTACTTGATGCCTCTGAGAGTGAGAACATAGCAATCTTTTTGCCGGTTATAAAACTATAGGAAGACCCTAAAATTGGATACTATTGCAAGTCAGATTCTGTTACAAAGAAGTCGAGCACCAATTTGTTCTTTTAATTATCCTGAATTGTGTTAGACTAAATAATTCTCACAATTAGTGAGGCTAATAACTAAGCCTTGGAAACTTGGAGTTACAAAGATTCTATTATTAAATATTTATGGAAGAACTAGCATGTGCATAGGCTGGAGCTGTGTGCTGGGGGCGAGGTGAAACTCTCCAAAACCAATTCTGTGTCCTTGAGGGACATGTAGTCTGCCGTTGACTTTGACATCAAACCTCCCAGTGCTTCTGAGGTCTGTCTTTCAGCACTTGGTACGAAGGCAAGCAAATGCTTAGCCGATGTGGTGTCTTAGAAGGGACAGATGAGTTCTCTCAGGATTTCAGAGTGCCTTAAAGTTGGGCGACTGGAGGCCAACCTGGGGGTTAACTGCCTTGGCTCAGCAGAGAGGGGGAAGTGTGGGGAGTGAGGCGCGGCCGCGGGGGTGCAGGGCAAGGCCCACAGGGCTCTCTAGAAGAGGGAGGAGCGGACCTGGTGCAGACCGCAGGGAGGACGGTGTAGGGAGATGTGGGAGCAAAGCTTGTGCTAGGGCATGTATACGTGTTTGACTCTTGGCTTTGATGCTATACAGAGCCAGGCCCGCTGGTTCACGCTGGTATGCGTGATGTACCTGCACGTAGTAAATGTTTGGTGAATACAATGGAATGAATACATCTTTTTGTGACAGTCTGTCCTTTTCACTAATATTAATAATTCAAGCATTTTCAATTATTGACAGTTTTCCTTGCTAACATGTAGTCAGTCCTCTGCCATTGAGTTTTCTCAGGCCTTAGTGAGAGGAACCGAAATGTCTGTCTTTTCTCTGCCTGAAATAAAATCCCTGTCTGTGTTTTAGAGTCGTGCTCCGATTTCTGCGAAACTCGTGGCCAACATGCTCTCTGTGGCCGGGGCGGACCACATCATCACCATGGACCTGCACGCCTCCCAGATCCAGGTGCCGGCCTTTGCTTTCTTGCCCTGGCTTGTGCCCAGCGGCTTAGAGGGAGCGGCTAAGCCCTAGCTCCCTGTTGAATCATTTTTGAAGGAGGTATTATGATTTTATTAGGTTAAATACTTTTCAAAGGCAGTAACGTTACTCATGTTTGTGGTGTATGTGACTTCTCTTGGATTTTCATCATCGCTGAAACTAAAAGTGAAATTCTGTGTTGCATTGCCCACCCCCAGCCCGCCCTCGTCCATTTTGGGGGCACAAGGAATGGCTTCTTGGCAGTGAACTACATAATTCCATCTCAATGTCTGGAAAATAATTAGAATGGCAGAGTTGTATATGTATTTTTTATTTTTTAACTTTGTAACTCAAGTTCCTTCATCTGTAGAGTCAGCCAGACTGCTCTGGGGCCGCATGGCGCTATGTAATGAATGTGAAGCATGTGGCTTACAATAAGGTGCTTAAGAAACAGCAGACTTTGCTCCCCCACTGCCCTGCAAAGCCATTCTCCTATTTCTTAGAATACAAGCGACCATAAAAATAACAGAATGTGCCCTCGAAGATAAATGATTAGGCTAAATTATGCTCCTGGAATTAATTTTGATTCAATTCTGTTACAATGGAGAAAATCTGTTAGAAAGGCTTCTTTTGAGGGCCTCCCTGGTGGCGCAGGTGGTTGAGCGCAGTGCTGGAAGCTGTCCGCAGCCTCTGCAGTGCCAGTTTGATCCCCGCCGGCCTCGGAGCAAGCCACATGGTGCGGCAGACCTCGTCTGTCACACCCGCTGCTCCCCTCAGCAGTATATTTTGTCAGTCTGCCTGTTCTGTTCCCCGCTCTGTCTCTGGTGAATCCTCTCACCCTCCCACACCTCTGGCCTGTACCCCTTCTCTTAAAAAAAAAAAAAAGGCTTCTTTTGAATGAAAAAGTCCAAATTTATTAAATGAAAGCTTATTTTTAAAAAGAAGCCAAGCCCGCAGCGTGGCCCTCTCCCCACAGGGCTTCTTTGACATCCCTGTGGACAACCTGTACGCGGAGCCTGCAGTGCTGCAGTGGATCCGGGAGAACATCAGCGAGTGGAGGAACTGCATCATCGTGTCCCCCGACGCCGGCGGCGCCAAAAGGTACGGCTGGGCCTGCAGCGGGACACTGTGTTTCTGGGTGGCCTTTCCTCTCCTCAGGGGCTAGAGGAGGAGGCGTGTTTTCAGTTCCTTAGTTCATTTTACCAACGAGCCAGGTAGGAAGCCTGCAGGTCTTTGTTACCATCTCACCACTCATGAAAGAAACACACGTTTCAGCAGAGAGCATCTTTCCTTTGAGTGTATTTTAGTTTTTTAAATTCTGATTTTAAAAAGTAATGAGCCTGATTGGAAAGGAAAGCTTGTTAGTAACGCACTTGACCAAGTCCTTCCCACTGCAAACACCTGGGAATAACTGGAACAGAGCAGAACTTTAAAAAGTGAATCTGTGTGTGAACACCAGGAGAGGGAGGGATCTGTGGCGCCGGGACATCCAGAAGGAGCTAACAGCCAGAGCCAGGCGCGGGAGGCCTGGGGGATTGCTCTCTGATGCCAGAAGAGACTGGTGGCTCGGGGCAGTTCATGCCAATGCAGGGGCCTCCAGAAAGAAGGGCCTTTTGAATGGGGGAGAAAATAGTCACTGTGCAACCTCAGAGAGCCTGTGCCGGGTGCATTGATGTATGACCGCTGCTCTTGAGCAGTGTGGGGGTCCCTGTGCTGAGAAAATTCAGCTCCACATTGGTCCCAGGCTGCCAAGTCACAGAAGAGGGAGAATTCCACAGGTGGGGTGCTTACTGAGCAGCTGGGTTTATGGGAAACAGCGAGGACGTGACTCAAGCTGCTCACAGATGTGCAGTGGGGGTGACCAGTAACCCTCAGACTTCAGGACATCTTTAAATGCAAGTGCCGGCCCCTGTTCGGCTTGCTCCCCACCCATGGCCAATTAAGGGCCTCAGTTCAAACTTAGACACTTAGCAGCAGCTCAGAGAGCAGAGGCCCCGATCCCTGGACCATCTCCTTGTGGTTAAGCTGCTGTCCCTGACTGCTTAGGTTCCCAGCACAGAAGAGAAGGAAGAACCGGGGACAGCTGGAGCCAGGCCTCTGAATGCGGAAGGAAGTGGCCGTTGGCAGGAAGGAGACAAAAAATCTGTAAAAGAAGGTGGAAGGTTAAGTTGCAGAGACCCTAGCCAGGCCACAACAGGATGGAGGGTAGCCCCCGGCATAAAGCAGCCCCATGCCCCACAAAGGCAGATTTGCCAGGTTTGTCAGGCTGCAGCGCAGTGGGGTTCTGCACTTCAGAAGACTAGGGCTATGTGAGCAGGTAACATGCAGGAAATGCACTTGGAAACTTAAGTCTAGCAGTGGAAACTACCTTCAAATATGGTGAACCCGCTGGCCTGATAGAAGGTTAGAGGTGAGCTGGTAGGCTGGGGGTACACGCGCGTCAAGTCCAGCTTGTTGTTTAATAAGATGGCTACAATGCACCATTTTAAGTGTCCAGTTCAATGATCGATTTCGTATATTCGCCCCAGTGCAAACCTGTACCCACTGGTAGTCACTCCCCATTCAGCCGCCCCCCCCCCCACCCAGGCCCTGGCAACCACTAATCTACTTTGTCCCTGTGGAGTTGCCTCTGTGGACATTGTGACAGGAGAGTCTTACATTTCATGGTCTCTGCATCTGGTGTATTTCCTGTTTTAACCAGAAAAGATGACTGGAGCTAATAAGCCCAAAGAAGAATAGATTGCACCAGCTCGTGCGGCCTCTTTTCCAATCCCAACTGTATTTTTATGCATAGTCTAAAACTATACATGCTCTGAGCAAAAGGTCAAACGGTGCCAGAGGGTCATGTCCCCTATTTTCTTCTTTTGAGTCCTCTGTTATGTCCAGTGTCAGATGTATGTTCTTCAAACATAGGACTTTTTATTTCACACAATGATAGGACAATGCTGTGCACACTTCATTGTGCTCCTTAAAGGAAACTTGCTCCACCTTCGCCCTGATCGCACAGCGGGAGGCAGGTCCACCTCACACCGTGCGGCTGGGCCACACTCACCGTGCGCTTCCCTCACGACCTCCTTTACCTGGTCTCTCCGTCCTCACGCGCCGGTACTGTTGCTTGTTGTCTTACCCAGCCCTGCAGCACTACACTTGCTGTCATTGTGGGTGTCGTTGTACAAGGCAGAGATGTTCTAGAAGTCCAATTTGAGCTGAGTGTAAGGGCACAAACCATTTTGGTTTTGATGTGCAGTGCCAAAGTTTGCTCTTTCAAAGAGGACAGGCCTGTTGGCATTCCCGCAGTGTGGCTGCTGGTGACTTTCTGCACAGGCCCCCGGCACAGGTCATCAGCAGACTTAGTTATTTGACAAATCGGATGAGTGATAGATGGTGGCTCTTCCTGTCCACGCCCGTTGCTGTGGATAAGGTCAGTGTGTCTTTGTGGGGGTCTGTCTGTTCTTCCCTTTTGCCTATTGACCCGTTGCCGGAGCTCTCTTCCTCTTGCACAGGCGAGAGGCCACACCTTGGTTTTGCGTGTATGTGTGCGTGCCTATGTGTGTGTTCTGCAAATATTTCCCCAGGTTTTTCATTGTGTCCCTTTGTGTATGTTTGTTTTCTGCTGGACTTGGTAGTCGTGTTTCTCTCTTCATCTGACGGTTTCCGGGCTTAGGGCGGGTTCGCAGTTCTCATAAAATCTCTCCTCGAGAGTTCATGTGTTTTAAGGGCTGCAGTTTTCATTTGTCACGTTCCACTTTTGTCCTGTCTGAAAACTGCTTTGGAACATGAAGTAAGAAACTAACTCCCCGCCTCCCCCGCTGCGTAATTGGTCTAAAACTATTTATGGAACAATCCATCTTTCCCCTACTGGTTGGAGACACCATCTTTTATTATATACTAAGGTCCCCTATCAGGTTGCTGACCCTCCTTTAGAAAAATGCCAAGCTGCTGCCCAGATACACGCGTTGAGACACCGTCTTGTTCAGACCCCCTTTGGGGCGGTCATTCAACCTCCCTGTCCCCTCCGCCAGGAAAGTTAAGATATTTGGGGGCACACCTTTTGGATTTCTTGGCCACCTCCTCTCCCTTCCCCAAAGTGTCTGCTACAGGTCGTCACTGTCCTCATGTTCTGGAGGAAGCTGTTCTCCGCTGGCGGACTAGCCTCGCAGGTGACACGGGATTCATGGCATTGATAGTATCTGTGGTTTGATAATAAAAGTACCATTTTACCAAAGAAAATATCTGACGAATTGGAGCTTGTTGCCTTCGAAAAAGCTTCTGAACCTTGATTCAGTCCTGGTAAAGCACTGTCTCCACAAGAGGTCTCTCTCGGAGACTTTGAAACTTGACGGGACAGTTAAGACCAAAACGAAGCTTAGGAGTCACACCGCCGCTGTAGAGGTAGTCGCTGTTAGCGTAAAACTGGTGTGGAAGGTGGTGGAAGGAAATCATTGAGATTGCATTTGCAGTTTTTCTCTTTTCCCCTGATTATATAATCATACGATATGCCCTATAGAAAATCTGGAAAGTTATAAAGGAGAAAATAGTAACTACTTTCTAAAGTATCTATAATCAGTGATACCATTATGAACAATTTAGGGTGGTATGTATCTGCCTTTCCTAGGGCTGGCTACACACACAACACACGCATGTATACACGCATGCACGCTGGCAAACATGTCTCCAGAAAGATGGAAACCAAGCTCTGTGTTTTATTCCACCTTTTTCTGCCAGTAATTTCTCAGCATCATTTGTTAGGAATGTATATTAAGTCTCAGTTATATATGTGGAAAAGAAGTTACTTTCAGGGCATAGGAATGTTCTGGCAATCCAGAAGGCTGCTTGCAGGGATATTTTCCTTTATTTCCTGCTTGTTTGTGATATTGCCATTGAGTACTTGAAATGGCTAGATCTCCCCACTCTTGTCCCGGGCCCACTCCTGTCTGCCCCCCAGCCCCAGAGCTCAGCTGTTTCCCCCACAGGCCCTGGGGCCCCAGCTGCTTTTTGTGCAGAGTCTGGGAGGCGGGAAGAGTAATGTCAGTACCTTAGTTCTTCGGCCATGTTTCAGCCCACGGATAGCTTGACAGGTGAGACCTGCAGCTTTTGTCATCTTCAGGGTGGCTGGTTGATCCATTCCTAAAATACAACTCGACAAGGTTTTTTCTCTTAACCGTGTTCACGTCTATGTCCTTGCTCAGGGTCACGTCCATCGCCGACAGGCTAAATGTGGAATTCGCCCTGATTCACAAGGAGAGGAAGAAGGCGAACGAAGTGGACCGGATGGTTCTGGTTGGCGACGTGAAGGACCGTGTAGCCATCCTCGTGGACGACATGGCAGACACTTGTGGCACCATCTGCCACGCTGCAGACAAGTACACAGATGGGGGGCCATTTCGGACACTGGAGGACTCAGAAAGGGAAAGGCATTAGCTTTTAGAAATTGCACCTGTTTTTCCAAATGATTGCTGATGCACTAGTAGTGGCCTTTCAGACCAAAGAAGATTCTAGGCCTGTGTATTTTTTTCTCCTGGGCATGAAAACCTCAGTCCTTTGTGGCCTGGTTTTAATTCCAAGATTGGCTTCAGTGCATTTTTTAAAGCATCATAAGGTGCTTCTCCTGAAACTGAAGGAAAGAATCAGTCTTGGGGGTCTAGGGGGCCCTTGCTTACTTCTGTTCAGCTTCATTTGTGCCTTCCTCGGCCAGCAGCTTCTGGATCCTTTAGAGCTGGGCTGTCTGGGGTGGGAGCCACGACCCCGCCTGTGTGGCGGTGGGTGCTGGAGATGTTGCCAGCCTGGCCCGAGATTCCCTGAGAGTGTAAAACACACCAGGTTTCAGAGACTGAGTGCGAAACAAGGAACATTAAAGACCTCGTTACTATTTTGATATTGATTATACCTCAAAATGGTGATATTCTGGCTATGTTGGTTTTACACCAGTGGTTCTCGGCAAAACTGCAGGGACCGTTTTTCTCCCAGGGGGACATCGGACAGTGTCTGAAGAGATTGTTGCTTGTCACAGCTGAGAGGAGGGGGGGCTTTGTTAGCGGGTCAGGGCCAGGAAGGCTGCAAACAAAGGATTATCCGGGCCCAGGCACCAATCAATGGTCCTGACTTAATGGGATACAAAGGATTTTGCCAGCACATACCTTGAAAGACCTGTGTGAGGCCAGTATATGTAAGTGAAATTGGTTTCGTGTTTTCCTTTATGGAACACACTTTTTGCCTTTAAATTCACACTGGGGAAGAATGTTTCAGGAATATGCATGTACACTTCATTTTTCAAATCTTCTATTTTACAGGCTGCTCTCGGCTGGGGCCACCAAAGTTTACGCCATCCTTACCCATGGGATCTTCTCTGGGCCAGCTATTTCCAGAATAAACAATGCGGCCTTTGAGGCTGTGGTTGTCACAAACACGATTCCACAAGAGGACAAAATGAGACACTGCTCCAAGATTCAGGTACTAGCCACACAGCAGGCAGAACCAAACCATGAGACACCGGCCTCTGGTCCCAAAAGCCAGCATCGAGCCTTCTGTGTGTGACTGCTGGCTAAGGCAGATACCAGCAGAGGCTGCAGCTTCTCCTAACATGAGGGTATAATTCACTTTAGATCTCAGAGAAAGGCCTGGACCAGCAGAGGTCAAAGGTAAAAATAGTAGGTGAATCAGAGCGCAATAGAAAAAAACAGTACAAAACAGGCTGTTTGTGTGTGGTCAAGTCCGCCTCTAGATACATACTCCCCAAATTTGAAAATGGTGTTCAAACAAAAACTTGTACAGGAATGTTCCTAGCACACCTACTCACAGTAGCCAGAAGATGGAAACAGCCCAATGTCCATTGGCAGAGGAATGGTCGAGCAAAGTGTGGTCTAATCATACGATGGGATGATGCAGCCTTTACGGGAAAGGCAGTTCTCATGTAGGCTGCAGCAGGGATGAGCCTTGGAAAGAGTGAGCTAAGTGAGAGAAGCCAGACACAGAAGGACAAATACTACATGAGGGACTCCGAATAGTCAGACTCCCAGAGACAGAAGGTAGAATGGTGGGGGCCAGCGGCTGGGGGAGGTTTAGGGGGAGTTTGTGTTTAATGGGGACACAGTTTGTGCTCAGGATGATGAAGAGGCTTTGGAAATAGATACTGGCGGTGCATATACAATGTTGGGAATGTATACTGCTGAATTATCTGCTTTAAAATAAGTGATCAATTTTATGTTCCCATGTGTACATACACCTGCTTTTTTTTTTTTTCTTACCGTAACAAAAACAAGGGGGTACAAATCAGTGTGCATCAGCAGTAGGCTACGCTAAGCGTCTTCAGAGCTTTGTTCCTCCTGGCTTGGCAGAATTGGTGATAACCACTGACAGTAGCTGGCCTGACATAAATTGAAAATATTTGAGTCCCCATTTTGCCTCTATGTCCTGGTGAACTTTAGCAAGTCATTTCCTGCTAGAAGCCTTTGTGTCTATGCTTACTTAGAGCATGAAGGTGTAAGGCAAAGCAGTCTGCTTTGTGATTTCCAATCTGTCGGAGAGCAAAGAAATTCATTTGGCACAAGGAGATAAATTTGAAAATGGTGAAAATGGTGGTGCCTTATATTTTCCTGTCTGATGAGCAGTAGTCAAGAGTCAGCTACCTATACCCCACCAGTCAAGCCCAGCCCACCATCTGGTTTTGTAAATAAAGTTTTAGTGGCACACAGCCTTGCCCATTCGTTTATGTATTGACTGTTGTCTCACCACTGTGAAGACTGGATTGAGTCTTGTCTGTGAAGCCGAAAATATTGAGTCCCTTCACGGAAAAAGTATTTTGCTGACTCCTGAGTTAGAATAATCACAGCTGTGCTTTTTTTTTAAAAGATTTATTTATTTATACAAGAACTGGGGTACAGGCCAGATGTGCAGGAGGGTAAGAGGATTCACCAGAGAGGGGAACAGAACAGGCAGACTGACGAAATACACTGCTGAGGGGAGCAGCAGGCGAGACAGGAGAGGTCTGCCGCACCATGTGGGAATCTCGCCAGCCAGCCAGGATCGAACCCACACTGCAGAGGCTGCGGACAGCTTCACAGCGCTGCGCTCAACCGCCTGCGCCACCAGGGAGGCCCCTACACAGCTGTGCTCTTAAACAATGCAGTCACTGGTTTCAGAAACCAAGAGAGAGGAAATCTTTCCATATCATGGTTGAAATTGGTTACAAACAATGCCTCAAGGAAAGGATGTCTCCTTTGGTTAAGTGGCTCTGAAGAGTCTTTGAGTTTGCACTGAAATCTGGCATCCAAAGATTCCACACGGGTTGGGGCCCCCAGATTGTGATCTGAAGATGGACCCCCGCTGTCTGCCTCCTCCAAAATGGTGGGTGGGTGAGGAGGGAGGAGGAGCTCGACTTGTGTGCTGGAGAAATCGTTTCTAAGCTCTGTGACTTAAGTTTTTAATTAAAGACATGACCAAGATTTTCCACGTTCCTCTCCTTACCTCTTGTTTTCTCCTTGTGTTTAGGTGATCGACATTTCCATGATCTTGGCTGAGGCTATCCGCAGGACTCACAACGGAGAATCGGTGTCCTACCTGTTCAGCCACGTCCCCCTCTAAGTCCAGGACGTGCAACATGGAGTGAGCCTGCCCTGGCTTCTGACACATGTGCTTGTCTGATTTTTTTTAGCTTTAGGACTCAGCAATTAGGAGATAACGCAAAAGTATCAGATCTTTGTATACTCGGGGATCCATCCCCCCTTTCTGAAGCGCAAGACCATTTAGTTCCAGTTTGCAGGGAAGGGCGGTGGTTATTTAATCTGTCAGTGAACTGTCTTCAGTGAGAAATGTTTTCGTCGCCTTGACTTACATTGATAGGTCACCTTTTCCTCTGTTCCGTCACTACTTTGAGGCCACAGCTTTCGGGTATGGAATTCCAGTGTGGAAGTTTGTAGTTTATATATTGCGGGGTTGCCAAAGGTGACTTCAGATGAAATCCTTCTGTGTAAATATGTAATGATAATGCCTATGGACATTTGGGTAAAACCCTATAGAAAAGTAGCCCTTTAATTCTCAGTGAACCTTAGGAAATTTATAATACCATAGATTCTGAATTTTTGTAAGTAAATCATTTTGGTTATTATGCTTAATCTGGACCAAATTTTATGTAGCCTAAGATGGACGCTGACACATTAATTTTTTTGGTAAACATTAGACAGATGGGGGGGGGCAATACGATTCAGTATTTTTTAATTCCACTGGTAGAACTATCACTTAACCTGAAAGGCCATGGTTTCAGATTCCAAAATTATGTTCAGCGATAGGTCTGATTTAGCGACCATTTTGAGATGGCGTCTTTGAGCTCAGTCACACAAGTGGTCTCAAGAAATTAAGGAGCACAATTCTTTGAGCCCCATCTCATGTCCTATCTCCTTCCTCTTTTACGTATTTTTAGCACTCATTTTTTGCATTTTTCCAATAATTCATGTTTGGCTTTCCACCAAAATAAAGACTCCCCTGAGTCCTCTCAAATTTAGTAGTCTGATCGTTATTTTGCTTTCAACGTAAGTAAAAAGATGAATTTTTGTGAGTGCCACCAAATGCGTATTTAAACATTGCTTCATTGTTTGGTTTCACTTTTTTTTTTTGCCTTTTGTGATCCGAAGTAGTAAGTCATCTAAGCAACTGATGAATTTAACTAAAACTGTTACATGAAAGCTGTGTGCAAGAAGTACGTCAGCGGCTGCACGTACTAATGTTCACATAGTCTCCCCAGTGTATACTAGACAGCCTTTCCGGCACCCTCCTAAGCGAGATGTCCCCACCTCTGGCACAGGGCACACTGATTCTGTGAATTTTATGTTATGCACGTGGGTCGATAACCAACAGAATTCTTCAGCCCCAAAAGGTGAGAATTTGGCTACACAGATAAAGCCTGGGAATAAGAAACAATAGTCGCTCCCTTCTGCTGAATCTTAAAACTTAAATCTTAAGTTTTAAATTTAGTCTTAAATTCTTTTACAGGTGAAAAACAAATGTATTTATGTCACCAAGAAACTTGAATAGCAATCTTTCATGTTCACTGCAACAGAGGTTGAATTAAAGTTAAAAAGTATTTTTAGTTGCTGCAGAAACTACCATTTTGCTGTACCTTTAAATGGCTCTTGAGAAAAATGCCTACTGTAACTTGGTAAAGTCACAAACTGACTATCTAGAAAGAGTTGACTTGAGATGTATAAAGAGCCTATTTAGATGCTCTGTGACTTATTTTTGATAAATATGGTATCTGTATTTCTTGGAATTTTGATGCTTAGGGAAATGCAAATGTAGTTAGGAGCATGCATATGTAGACAGCCTGGCATATGAGTTAACATAACTAAAACCTGTTGATTTAAAGGTAATCATTTCATCCAAGAGATGGAAAGTCTAGGGATGTATAGAGTTAGTATTGAAATAATCATCTTGGAGATAAAAGATAAAGATATGAACATACCAAAGTTAAACTTCCAACTTAAATGTTGTTAGTCAACTTCTACAACTCTGTCAACTAGATGCAGGAGCAAATCATTTGCAGTGCTTGTGGGTTTAGAAGATAAAATTTTAAGATCCTCCAATGCTGTACTGAAACATTTCAATAAAAATCTCTTTTCTCGTGGTTTGTATCATCACTGTGGAGTAATGTTTTGATGGGGTGATGTGTTTACATGGGGTACCTGAAAATGTTTCCTACTTCATGATTATAGCCAGGCATATAAAATTACCAAAAAGGCAGAAGTTAAAAGAAGTCAAATCTTCTTCATTTTCAAGGTGTTTTCTTTCTGAAAGACTTATTAGCCACATCTCATTGTCCCAAAGCAGAACAGCTATGCCCCACGAAGCATCCAAGTTGGTAACTAGCTGTTTCCCCTCAAATTAAACGCAGTGTGTTTGCACATCAGAATAGGAATTCATTAACTAGCTAGAGGTTGGAGCACACTCAACTGCAGGCTGCACAGAAGTTTTCAATGGGCTTTGGTTCTAGAAGTGTCAAGAAGTGTCCTCTTCCATTGAGCCGGTAAACACCCAGTGAACCACAAAGAACTAAAACCAGGTCCATCTGAGGAGTCCGAGCCTAAGAGCACGGTAGAGTGTCTTCGCTGGGAGGAAGAGAATGAAGGCGGTGGGGACGGGAGGCACATTGGCTTCACAACCCACCCAAACAGTCTGTCGCCCTCTGCAGAAGTGTCTCATCTAGCAGGTCATCGGTCACGTCCACTGCTCCCTGCCTGGGTGTTGTCAATTCAGGTGATTAAAGGTTTCCAAATATTTACTCTCAGCTTGATATTTTACAGACCTGCAGCGAAAGTTCTCTGAACTGTGGTTGGTGGACCAGGTTGAGTAGCTGCAAGAAAACACAAGTAGTTTCCAGCAATCTAAAGAACACTCATTTCTTGTTTGGCTGCTTGTAAAATACAATGTGGACTGCTTAGATGATTTAATAGAGAACAACTTCTCGTTTTAAATTTGGAAGCACTAGACAACTGAGGATGGGGCCCAAAGAGACCAAGGCGAACGTGTGATTCTTGTGCATGTAGCGTAAGCCAGTGTTGTGCGGAAGGTGCAGCGGCAGTTGTCAAGTTCCCTTTAGAAAACTAAGGCATGCACATTTACTGCTGTTTCCTGTTTAATGCATGGGCTGAAATCTCTAGGATCAACTTCCTTCGTGAAGACAGAGGAAAGAAAAGCAAAGCATGAAATAAACTTTTTAAAAAAATAAGTTCATTTATTTAAAAAATGGAGATTGCACCTCTATTTATGTCACCACCTTAAAAAAATTAAACTGAGGAAATTGAAGTCCCTCACATAGCCAACCTTGTCCGTTTCCCCTCTCCCTGCTCAGAGGTCACCGATAGCCTGGATTTAGATTTCCATGTCGATTCCATGCATGTTTTAATACTATAAATGAATTAGTTTTCATGCCTTAACTCTGTCTACGTGCATGGCGCTCGTCTACACATCCTTCTCGAACCTGTTCCCCGCCTCATTGTGTTTATCAGTGTTGGCACACTTAGCTGCGGCTCCTTTGTGTTTACTGCTGTGTGATTTGTTGTTGTCTAATTTTATCACTTTCATCTGTTGATGGACATGTGGACTTTTTTTCAATTATCCTTTGAGGTTGTAAACTGTTGCGATGCACATTGCTATGCTTGTCACTTCATGCCATTTTATTCATGACTGCTATTCTCAGCCTCTCGAGGGAGAAGTGGGTGTTTTCCATCCTGGTAACACACTTGTGTCCAGCACAGTCTGCAGCAGGTGGCAAGCAGCCCGAGTCAGGACTCTGGCTTAATCTTCTGTGTCCTTGGTGTCCAGAACAATGCCAGGCAACAGGGTGTTCAAAAACGCTTTTTTTTTTTTTTTTCTGTTTTTTGCAGGACAGAGGGGCTGACCTTGCCGGGGAGATACCAGTAGTTACCTTGACTAACCCAAAAAGATTCCTGACAAGAGCCAAGTCATGGGTCCACTTACATGCCTGCTGACAGGTGACTGGATACAGAAATTGTGTTGTGTATACCCAGTGGAATACTACTCAGTTATTAAAAAGGGTAAGAGAGTGCTAGTTGGGAGAAAGTGCATGGACTGGAGGTGATTGTGCCAAGTGAAATAAGACAGAAAATGCAGCATATTTACCAAATGGTTTCAATCAACTGTGGAATAAAACAACCAAAGAAAACAAACTGACAAAAAAAAAGCCCCACAATAATTCTTAGATGCTGAGAAAATACAGTGTCGCCAGAGTAACGAGAGGAGGGGTGGAGGCGGGAGGGGAGGTGAGAGGGAATGGGCCTCCACCTTCGGTGGAGACTGAAGCCTGTGCACAAATAGAGCGGTGAAGTTGTCCTCCAAAAGTTATCTCTGTAGCATGTGAATGACGGGCACACCATACAACTTGACAAAACTGCCCAAAAAAAAGTTCGTGCCGCGAGGAGGTGGAGGGTGTAGGCCCCGGCTGTGCGGCGCCCTCTCCTCTGCGGGAGCCACTGAACACGAGGCTGGCGGGGCAACGTGGGCACCGCAGGGACGTGTTCCAGGTGCCCCTGCTGGGGCCCCCCCCAGTGGACAGAATCACAGCCTCTTCTGTGCCGTCACTCCCGAAAGGGGGTGGGCGCGCTGAGACCCGAGGAGGCAGCCGCAGGCTCCCGTGGCCAGGCCCAGACCCGAGAATTTGCCGCACCTGGGCCGCCCTCCAGAGGCCTCGACCGCTGTGGGTGGGGGCACAAAACGTGGTCATCAGCGCCCCAGGGACTCCACAGTGAGGCCAGGGAGGAGCCCCAGGCCTGCGGGCAGGTCAGGAGAGAGGCCGCAAGGCCTTCGGACAAGGCCAGGGAACAGGGGCTGCTCCCGAGCTGCCAGCTGGGGGCCCGGGCAGGCCGCCTCCTCCCCATCCGGAGCAGGACCCGTGGCCTCTGGGGGAGAGGGCCCTGACGTCGGCCAGAGCGAAAACACGGTTTGGCTTGTGTCCAGCGAGGGGGCCCTGGGAGCCTCCTGAGAGGAAGGTCAGAGCAGGCCGCCCTTTCCACCGCCGCATCTCCAGGTGCTTCGCCGCTGGGCTCACGCGGGCAGCAGGTGGAGGGGCGGCGCCCAGGCCCCGAGGAGGCGCAGGTGCGGCCCGTGGAGCTAGAGGCCCTGCTCAGGCGCGCCAGAGAAGGACGAGGAGGGAGACGTGCAGCCTCAGGTGAGTGTCCGCCCCGGGCCCTGGGCTCCGGCCTCTTCCCGAGGCCGCGGTTCCGCGCTGGCAGGCAGGGCTTCTCCCGCGCGGCTGCTGCGAACAATGTGCGTCCAGCTGCCCCCGGCCCGCCGTCGGGCGCCAGGCGAGCTCCTCGCGCCTTCCCGTGGGGCGCGGAGCGTCCCCTGTTCCCGCCTGGCCTCGGGCCGGGTCTGGCGGGGAAACGCGCGCGGCGAGGGGCCCGCCTGCAGCGGCCGAAGACGCGGCTCGGGCCGGGTGACACGGAGCGGGCTGCGGCCCGAGTGCGCTGGGCGCGGGCGGCGGGGGCGGGAAGGCGGGCAGCAGGGACCCCTGAGATTCCGGGCGCCGCGGGGGCCGCGCCGAGGGGACCCGTGCAGCGCCGCGCGGAGGAGCCGGCGGGCGGGCCCGGGACAGCTCAGGCCCCCGGAAGGCCTCGCGGCGGCCGCGCGCCGAGGCCCTGGCCGAGCGACGCTGGGCTGCGAACCCGGGCGCTGCCATAGAGATGCGCCCAGAGCGGCGCCCGCTCCCGACGAGGTGGTCGCCCGTGCTTGCCCCGAGCAGCATCGCCGCCAAGATGGCGAGGGCCGCCAGCAGCGGGCAGCTGGGCCGGTTTCCCCCACCCCTGTTAGCCTCGCTGACTCTGGGAACCCGCTGCTGGTTTCTGCGGAAAACGGGGGCTGGCGCCTCTGTCCAGGGCGGATGTCAGCCCTTGCGGGGAACGCTCCACCCTGGCGGCCCTCGGTCCTCTCCGCTCCCTCTTGTTGCAGCCGCAGCACAGATGTCTCCTCTTCGTTGCTCTAGTGTTTTCAGGAATGGGGAGAATGCAGACTTAATAGATACTCAGGACTAAACCGTCCAACTCAGCACCACCAGAGAAATTACTTAAGGAAAGACGGTGGTGCTTGTGCAGAGAAAATCTTCCTGATGTGCCGTCTTCCCCTCCCGGTTTCTTGAGGCCACCTGCTCCGTGACTGCAGAGCAGTGGAAATTCTAGAGCCCCGTGGCATCCCCTAGAGGTGCCCGCTCTTAACCACACAGCCTTCCCTTACCCACGCGTCAGGAGTACCTGGACGTCACTGAAGGATCAGCAAGTGGAAAATCCTTCCTACGGATTCTAAAGGAGTTGTCAGAAAACAGTGTTCGGAGAAGCGATTTCCTGGGGCCTCCTCTAATGCTCTCCAGTGGACACAGTACTGGCCTGGATGGGGTAGACGCCCCCGCAAGACTCACGTTCCTTTCTCCATCCTAAACAGGTCTCGCTGTTCCTAACCGACCCTGATCACCTTCCCGGAGCAGCGGACAGAGCCCTGGATGTGCGGGGGAGGAGACGCGTCCACCCAGGTAGGGGGGCATGAGTGACACGGCAGAGGTCCAGGGTGGTGGCGGAAGCCAGGCCTGAGCATGTGGCGTGGGGAACTGCTTGAAGGGAAGTGACTGGGGGGGGAATCGGTTACTTGTCTTGCTCACTCCGTGATGAGTCGGACATTCTTCCCGCTCGCTGGAGCTCCTGTGTCCTCTAAGGACCGTCCTCTTGCTCCAGGGTCTTCCCTGGCGTCACAGCGAGACCAAAGGCCTCCTGCTCTGGGGAGGGTCTGGATGACCGCACCGCGCTTCCTCTGCCTGGATGGGGCTGGGGAAAGTGTGCCCATTCGGGGTTGCTACATGAAGGCCAACGTGTGAGTTTCCCTCTATCTTTGGGTACCCCTGCCCCCCAGAGACACCTGCCGGTTCTGCTACAACATTGGCAGCGGCAGAAACACTGACTCTTTCCCATCGCGGCACTCGGCCTGCACCTGCACTCGGTCCTCAGCACGGACTTGGGAGGGGGGTGCACAGAAGACTGTGGTCTGAGCCTGGCTGCTTTGGGGAAACCACATGGCTTCATTCCCAAAAGCCGCGTTTCCTGAGCACCTACTATGCTCACGGGCACGTGCGGACGTGCTGTGTCCCGGACACCGCTGG